CCCCCCGCGGCGCGGCCGGAAGCGGAGGCAACAAAGTAGCAACTTGAATGTAGCAACGTCCCGGCCCCGCCCGCCCGCCGGCCCGCCGCGCATGCGCCCGCCCGCCCGGGGCCCGCGCGCCGCGCTTAAAAGGGCAAAGTCGCCTCTTAAAACGGGCCGCGCAGCCGCGCCTAAAGGGGCAGCGCTCCCCGTCCCCTCCCCTTGCCCACCGCATCCCCATGCTCAACTCGGTGCTCATTCCCAACCCCGTGCCCGTTCCCATCCCTTTCCATATCCCTGCATGCCTCCCTATGCTTGTCCCCATTCCCTTCCCCATTCCTGTGCCCATTCCCATCTGTGTGCCCGTTGAATTTGCTTTCTCAGCTTGAAAGCGCACAAGTGAGCACACGAGAAAGGCAGGGAAGGACCCAGCTGACCAGCTTCGGGTTATCACAGAATCATTATGGCTAGAAAAGGCCTTCAAGACCACTGAGTGCAACTATAAGCCCTTAAACACCACCCTGCCAAACCGCCTCCCCACGTGCCTCATCTACACGTTTCTTAAACACTGCTGGGGATGGCCCAGGCCCCACTTCCCGGGGCAGCCTGTTCCAATGCTCCACCGCTCTTTCCGAATAATCTGCCTTGGGCGCTGCTTTTTGCAGCACCCTGTGGTGGGGGTTCTCGGGGTCCCTCCCTGCTGCAGGGTGTGTGGGCAGGTACCCTGCCAGGGTAACGGGGTGGGAAGAGCTAGGCCTGGCTTTTGGGAGCACCTGGACTGCAGGAGGCAGGGCTTGGGCTGGGAGTCCTGGCAGACTGGGCGCAGATGTGCCCATGCGGGTGCCACCCTGATGTGCCGACTTGGTGACATGTCACCTCAGACATGTCCATGACACCCACTCCCCAGTGCTGTGTGGGGAGGGAAAAAAGCCCTTCTCCTTCCTCGAGCGCTGCTGCTGAGCCTGGTGTCACTGACCTGGGCCACCGTCCCCCACGTCCTGGACCACCCCAACCCCACTACAAGGGCATTCTGGGTGCCTGGCCCTGCACCAGGCAGGACAACTGCCTCTGCCGAGGCCCGTTATGTCCTGGGGCACAGGTTACCTCGGAGAGGCTCCTTATTTGTGTGCTTCATTGGTGGTTTTTTGCATGCATATTTATATGGCTGTGAGACATGGAAATCGCTGCCTGGAAAACCTGCCGAGCAGCCAATACCGCAGCCTGTGAGGCCGTCCTGCCCCATGCGGCCCTGTCCCGCTCTCCTTTCCACTGCCCTGAGGCCACCTTGCCCATCCTTGTCCCCATTCCTGTCCCCATCCCCGTCCTCAGGGCTCAGGGCAGAGCACTCTTGTTGTGAGGACAGGGCTTAGAGGCAAGGGGGCCAGCTTGGCACTGCCTGTGGAGCCTGGCACCCCTCGCAGCCGCCCAGCCCTCCTCCTGTCCCTGGCTCTGGAGACACGGTGGGGCGTCACAGTGTGTTTATTGTGGGAGTGATTCTGGGGGACACGTCCGCCTCGGGGTGGTGGCACACAGGCCTTGGAGCGGGGGACATGGGCATCTTGGGGCGGGGGACGCGTGGGCTCCGGCCCCAGCAGGGGCAGCTGCACATGCAGGGAGAGGGACAGGGAGCAGGACGAGCCCTTTTCCTGCAGCTGGTGGCACTGCCTGGGGACATCCCGCGTTCCTGGCAGCACCCTGCACTCCTGGGAGCTTCCTGAGGGCATCCTGCTTTCCCAGGAGCATCCCACTTTCCTGAGGGCATCCTGCTTTCCCAGGAACATCCCGCCAAGCTCAGTGCCTGGCCTCCTGGCCCCAGCTGTGCCCCCAGCCCACCACAGCCCCCAGCTCCCGCCTGGGGCCACAGGCCTCCCCCAGGGCTCCCAATGGGGTCAGCACAGCGAAGTGGGCGAAGGAGCTGTGAAAGGGCTGGCGGGCTGCCCCTCTTTTCCTTCTAGAGGCTGAGATCCACCACCACGTGCCGGTAGACCAGAGTGTTGGCCTTGAAGCTGGGGGCCAGCAGGAGCTGCACGTCGGCGGCCGGCACGTAGCGGAAAGCGCGCGGCGCCTGCACCGACAGCTCCTGGAACTTGGCAAACTTCTGCTTCTCCTCCTCCCACAGGTAGACGTGCGTGAAGGAGAAGTCACTGCCCAGCGCCAGGTACTGGCGCTGACCCACGGCGAAGGGCTGCATCACCATGGAGCCGCGGGACGGCAGCGTCTGCAGCTCCACGAAGCGCGGCCCGTCCCAGCGCACCACCTTGGAGTCGCCGATGTAGCGGCTGAGGCACAGGAAATGGTCCCGCTTGACCTTGAAGTGCTTGACCATCTGCACGTCGAGCACGTCGCCCACCTCGCCCTGCGGCGTGAACTGCTTCTGCGCCCGGTTCCACTGGTAGATGACGGGCGCCTGGGAGCTGCTGGAGATGATGAGCCGCGGTTTGCCCTCGTTCTCCACGTACTCCACGTCGGTGTCGCGGTGCCAGGCGTGCAGCGCCTGGTGGGAGTAGAAGCCGTTCTGGCTGAGGCGGTAGAGGCTGGTGGAGCCCGCCTTGGAGCTGTCGGCGATGACAAAGTACCAGTCGCCTTCAATCTGGAAGGCCTCAATGTCGTTGGGTTTGCGGGTCTTCTGGCTGTCGATGTCCTGGATCTTGATGAACTTGTCCACGGTGGTGTCCCAGCGGTAGATGTAGGAGCCCCCGAAGAGCTGCGCCACCACCACGTAGAGCTGCTCGTGCGCCACGATGGGCTTGCAGTGCACCGCCGAGTGGGCTGCGAGGAGGGGGACGTCACCCAGGGGACGGGGGGGGCGGGTGGGCCGGACCCCCTCCCCGCGAGCCCGCGGCCGCCTCACCGGGGATGCGGTCGAAGTCGCGCAGCTTGCGCTCCACGTAGTCCCACTTGAGCACGGTGCAGCTGCTGGCACCGGGCTGCGCCAGGGCCAGGTACAGGTCGCTGGCGTAGGTGAAGGGCTCGGCCGACACCGCCTGGAAGGGCAGCACCTGGTGCACCACGAAGTCTGTGGGGAGAGGCTGCTGTGAGGACGCGGGTAGCCTGGCACTGGCGGCGCCCGGCCCGCGGCCCCGTACCCGTCGTGATGCACTCGAAGTCAGCGAGCGCCAGGTCGCGGATGCGCTGGCCCTGCCGCTGCCCGGGGCTGCTGCAGAAGACGGCGGGCACCGTAGTGTTGGTCGTCTCCAGCCACTCCACCAGCCACTTGATCTTGCAGTCACAGGCCAGCGCGTTGCCACGCAGGTCCCTGGATGCAGGGGGACACGCGAGATGCCACCATGTCACCTGCTGTCCCCAAAGCACCCCGAGCGAGCACAGCAAACCCAAGCCCCAAGCCAGGCCGAGCCACTGGCTTCGTGCCCTGTCACCGCAGCGTGGTGGCCCTGGGCTCGGGGGCCTTACAGGTCGCTCAGGATGTCCAGTGGCTTGAAGAGGTCCCTGGGCAGCGTCTGCAGGTTGTTGTTGGCCAGAGACCTGGGGGCAGGAAAGGGGCCGTGGGCAGGGCCGCGGCAGGCAGTGGGGACGGGGCCACCACGCAGGACCCCCCACTACTCACAGGTGGGTTAAGGACTTGAGGCCGCGGAAGGTGCCCTTGGCGAGCGCCTGGATGTCGTTGTTCTCAATGAACCTGGGGGCAGGAGGAGATGCTGGCGCCTGCCCCCGCGCGGCCCCCGTGCCCGTCCCCCCGGCGCGAGCGCCCGCCACGCACAGGTACTGCAGATGCGAGAGCCCCGCGAAGGCGCCGTCGCCGATGAGCGCCAGCTTGTTGGAGTTGAGCAGCCTGCGGGGGAGGCGGGAGAGGTGAGGACCGAGTCGGGGGCACCGCGGAGCCTGGCGCCGCAGCCGGGCGCCCACCTACAGGAACTGCAGCGACGGGATGTGGGCGAAGGCGGCCTCGCGGATCTCCGGGAATGCTGCGTTCACCATGGTCCTGCGGGCAACACGGAGCTGCTGAGCCGGCCTGGCCGCCTGCCTCCGCCTGGCACCGCGGCAATGGGGCGCTCGGAGCTGTGCAGGGCCGGGCACAGGACCCGTGCGTGCCTGCGAGCTCTGGCCCTGTCACCAAGGCCCCCAGCTGCCAGTGTCACCAAGACATGTGGTGATCAGGGGCCAATGCCCGGCTGGAAATGTGGCAGTGCCTGCTCTTTTGCTGCTGCACGTCCGCAGCACCTGCACACACTGCATGCACGCATGCATGTGCACGCAGCTGTACAGGCTGCATGCATGCTTGCATGCACACACTGCATGCACGTGTCAGTGTGCATGCTTAAATGCACGTATGCTTGCACACACATGCAGCTGCACGCACTGCATGCATGCTTGCACACACACATCTGCATGCACATGCAAGCATGCACACTTAAATGCGTACACGCCTGCACACACATATGTGCGCACACATGTACGGTGCCTCCCCTGTGCCACTGCGGTCCCCTGTGCCACCGCCTGCCAGCCCTGTCCCCTTGGGGCGCCGGTGGCCAAGGTCACAGCAGTGCAGCAGGGCAGGGCTGCAGCCCTCGCCCTCCGTCGCTGATGGATGCCCCAGGGGAAGAGACCTGGCGCCTTCTCCCCCACCCCGTGCAGAGCTCCTGTCCCCTCCCTGTCCCTGGCACTTTGGGTACTCACAGCGAGATGACCTCGGGGGGCAGGTTCCTGGGGATGGCCTTGGAGTCCACGCAAAAGGCTGTGTCACGGGTGCAGGAGCAGCTCGGGGGACAGGGCGGTGGCCGAGGTGGCCGCCGGGCCCCCGCGGGCAGCCAGACAGAGCCCAGGGCCAGCAGCAGGAGCAAAGCAGAGCCCCCGGGGGCCCTTGTCCCCCGGCACAGCCCCATGGCACTGCCCGAGCCCTGCTCTGCGCCCAGCGGATGGAGCCGCGTGTCCGGCCGCGCAGCAAAGCCCTTTTGTCCCCGCGCTGCGCGGAGCTGTCAGTGCCCGGGGGCCGCGCTGCTGGTGACAGTGGCGGCTGCCGGCGCCCGCACCGCTGCTCTGCAGAGCCCCATGCTGCCGTGCTGCGGCGGGGAGGGACCAGCCGGGGGCGGGGGGATGCGGCGGCTGAGTGACAGCGCGGGCATCCGTGCCCGGGCCTGGGACCGCGCGTGACGCTGGTGTGCGGACACGGGGACGTGTGGACACAGGGACGTGCGGACACGGGGACGTGTGCCAGGGCTGGGGGCTTGGCCAGAGCCCGGGGTCCTGGCGCTGCGAGGGTGAGCCCAGCCCGAACACTGCAGGCCCGCAGCGGCCGCGGCGGCGCTGAGCTCATCGGTGGCAGGTGGCCTGAGCGGCCCCGTCCCAGGCACCGCGCGTGGCTGACCGTGCTGCGCTGGTGCCACAGCTGCAGTGGGTGCCCGCTCCACGGGCCACCCTGATGCTCTTGGCTCCCTGCTCCTTGTCCCCCTCTTCCTGGCATGGAGGAGGTGGCTTTAGAGGTGTGACGCCAAGGCCGGGTGCCAGGGAATGAGGCGCTGCCACCCTGCTCTTTGCCTTGGCACGGGCCCAGCCGCCTCAGAGAAGGGCCCTTGGGAGCTCTTGTGCCCCAGGGCTCTGGGGAGAGCTCTGTAAACAGCACAAGTGGCCTCTTGGCAGCTTCCCTGGCCTCCTGCCCGCGGTGCCGCCCCTATAAATGTCCTGGCAGCGGCTGGTGGGGGGACGGAGCCGCGGTGGGCCGCGATGGACAGCGACTCTAAAGAGGCGCTCATGGAGGAGGCCCCTCCGGTAAGGAGGCACCCGGGGAGGTGACCGGGGCCGCGTGGGGCGGCATCCCACGCTCACCCCCTGTGTCCCCAGAGGTACTCGGCCGCCCCCCCGCCGCCCTGCGTCCCCCAGCAGCTCAGGTGGCTGCTGGGGGTGGCGCTGGCCGCGGGGCTCGGCGTGGCCGTCGTCGCCTGCGTCCTGCTGCTGGGGCTGCACCTGGCCGAGGCGCACGCCGAGACGGTGAGGGCCCCCGGGCACGGCCGGTGGCACCGTGCGGGACCGGGCAGTGCCGGCAGGCGCTGCTGCCCGCCCGGCCCGGCCTGAGCCCCCCGCCACCAGGTGCTGCGCATGAGCATCGGGGGGCTGCGCGGGGACGGGCCGGCCCAGCAGCTCACCGTGAGCAGCCGGGAGAGGACGGGGACGTTCGCCGTGAGGGACGGGCTCAACTCCTCGGCCATGCTGGTCTATGACTACAGCAAGGTGCGGCGGGAGGGGACCGGGGCACTGGGGTGGCTGTGGTGGGCAGGGGCTGCACCCGAGGGCAGAGCTGACCGGGGTGCCCCTGCGCGCAGCTTCTCATCAGCTACCGCTCCTGGCGTCACCCGGCCTGCTACGTCACCCGCATGGCCCGGGACAGCGTCCAGGGGCTGGACGCCGTCACCGCTGCCTTCCGGCACCGGCAGGTGAGCGCCGGGCCGGGCTTGGGGGCCAGAGCTGCCCCGGCTCGGTGCCCGAGGCACCCGCGCTGGCCACCATGGCCCTGGTGTCCCTATGCAGGCCGAGCAGCAGGAGAGCGGGGTCCCCGGAGAGCCCCTGGGTGACCGCTCGCTCCTGGGCACCACGGCCAATGTCCTCTGCAGCACCGTGCCCGTCTATTGGGCCTAGGAGCACTCCTGGTGTTGCCTCCTGCACGGACGCGTCTCCTCCCGCACGGCCTGAGCCCGTGCGCGGTGGCGGTGGCCTCGGCAGGGCCCTGTGACGGCCACACTGCCACCCCCGGCTGGTGGCACTCGCAATAAACGAGCGTCTGTGCTTTGAGTCACGTGTTTCCCTGTGCCATACAGTGTCCCCCGGTCCCCAGGTGTGGTTCTCATCCTTCCCCACTTGTCCCCTTCCCCTCCTGCCACTGTGGCACTGCTCCTGGAGAGCATCCTGTCCCCATCAGCCTGCCCACCAGGCTCGTGTGGATGGCATGGAGCCACCACGGGCCACGTTCCCACAGGAGCCTGGCCAAGGGCCATGTGAAACACACATGGGGCATCGTGGCCCCTTCGCTGGCCCTCGTGTCCTGGAGCCCAAGGCCGTCCAGCAGGGCTTCTGCATGGGGAAACTGGGAATCAAAGTGGTGCAAGGAGTAAAAAAGGCCCTGGGAGGAGAAATGGTGCAGGGTCTGGTGTGGCGGCACCTGCTGTGGGTGCTGATGGGGGTTGGTCCCCAGGGACCTCTGAGGGGCCCGTGTCCGTAGGTTGGTGGCACCTGTGGGGTTGGTGCTTGGCGGGGAGCACGTACCCCCTATGAGGACATGGGCCAGGACACTCTGCTCCCCGCCACCCCCATGTCCCCCATGTCCCCGCCACCCCCATGGGCTCCTGTCACAGCGAGGCACTGGCCAAGGGGGTGCACAGGGGGAGGAAGGTCCCATGGGCTCCCACGGAGCTCGTGACCCCAGGGCTGGCAGCACTCGAGGGGCTCAAGGGTTGGGCAAGAGCCTGGGGACGGAAGCGCCGTGCACCACGTGCACCCTGCACACCCTGCGCACCCCACCCAGGGGTGCCCGACACAGCGATTTCCCAAGCGGACCCACGTGTGGGCACAGCCGGGAGCAGCCGTGCCCAGGCCGGCCTGTGGGGACACGACCCCAGGCTGCGGTGCGGCTGCCCGCTTTCATGTGCCCTTTGCCCACGCGGAGCAGCGGCAGGTGCCCGAGCTGGCGCAGGGCCGGCCCCGCCGCCGCGTTTGCTTTGGCTCCGCTCGCGAGGAGACTAGAGGCTCCGCAACTGGGGACAAGGGTCCTTGGGGGCTCTTGAGCAGCCGATTCCCAGGGGAAAGGGCTCCGGAAAGTCCATGGGCAAACAGGGGTGAAGAGCAGGGCCGCTCGCCCGCGCCGCCCTCTCCTGCAGCCCCGCACTCCGTATAAAGACCCCTGCCCGTGTAGCCTGGGCTGGCAGCAGGAGGAGGAGGAGGAGGAAGCAGACATGGAGAGCAGCATGAAGCCCGTGGTGGTCGAAGAGCCGCCGGTGAGCGCTGTGACCCGCGGCAGGGTGGCACCGGGGACAGCCCTGTCCCCGCCAGGAGGTGCCCCAAGGCCCCACGCTCACGTCTCGTCCCCCGTGTCCCTAGGACGCGGCGCGGCACTGCTGCTGCCCCGGCTGCTGCGCCCTGCCCTGCTGCAAGCTCTGCTGCCTGCCGTGCTGCAGCCTGTGCTGCCCGCGGTGCGCGCAGCGCTGCTGCGGCGGCTGCGGTGGCTGCGGCTGCGGCGGCTGCGGCTGCGGCTGCCTCCGCGGCTGCCTCTGCTTCCTGCCGCGCCTGCTCTGCTCCCTGCCCCGCAAGCTGCTCGGCTGCCTGCACTGCCGCTGCCTGCTGCTCGTCGTGCTCGTCTCGCTGCTGCTCGCCATCATCGTCGTCGGCTTCCTGCTCATGTGGCTGCGCGCGGCCCCGCGCACCGAGGACGTGAGTAAGGCGCGGGTGCTGCGGGGGGGACGGCGCCACGCGGCGCGTGACCCCCCGCGTGTCCCCAGGCGCTGGAGGGGAGCCTGGCCTGGCCGTGGCTCCCCATGAGGGTGCAGGACCAAGCGGCCACCTTCTACGTGGACAGCGGCACCGGTGGCCCGGCCACCGTCATCTACGACTACGAGCACGTGAGCAGGCGGCGGGGAGGGGGCCGGGCGGCGGCGCGGGGGACGCCCAGGGCAGAGCTGACCGGGGTCCCCCCGCGCGCAGCTGCTCATCAGCTACCGCTCCTGGCGTCACCCGGCCTGCTACGTCACCCGCATGGATCGCAACAACATCCAGGGGCTGGACGCCGTCACCGCCGCCTTCGAGCGGCGGCAGGTGAGCGCCGGGATGGGCGGGGACGCTCACCACGGTGCCACGTCCCTAAGGGTGACACGGGGCCTTCTGTCCGTGCAGGCTGAGCGGGCGCTCTCGGAGCCGCTGGGCGATCGTTCCCTGCTGAGCACTGCGGCCAATGTCCTCTGCAGCGTCCTCCCCGTCTACTGGGCCTAGAAGGTCTGGAGTGTCCCCTCGTCCCATGCAGTGTCGCCACTGCCCGAGGGGACACTCGCACCAGGCGGGCGCGTGGGACACTCGGTGATCTGCAGGGACACGCGGTGGCGGCCGCCTCGCCGCAGCCTGTGCCGGGACAGCTGGTTTGTCACTTAGTCTTCTCAGCTTTGCCAAAACCAAGTGCGAAAATAAGCTTAAAAAAAAAAAAAAAAAAAAAAGAATGACGTTTAAAGAAACAAGCTTCTTTTGCCTTAAAAGTATAGCCAAAGGCTGTGAGCAGCATCCGAGTGGGAGCTGTGATCCTGCCGTGCCACAGGGCATGTTGCAGGGGGTGGGCCCAGGCATCCCAGGCTCCTGAGGGGGCCGTCAGTGACTTGGGTTCTGCAGTGCCACCCTCCGGGCACCCCCATGCCCTCCATGGAGCCCCACCTCATGCCATGGTCACAGCAGGGCTGTCGGCTCTCCTCCCACGGACACGGCCCAGGGAAGCCTTTCCCACCCCTGACCGGGAACACGCAAACTCCAAACTTTTCAAGGACGCAGGAAAACAAACAGAGCGCGCAAATCCCCTGGGTGCCCACATGGAGCAGTGGGGAGCCAGCTGTGCGCACAGCTGGAGGCGACGGACACCTCGTGCGCCAGGCACGGGGGTCGCCGCGGCCTCGCTCGTGGCCCTGCCGCCCTGGTCACCTTACCTTGGCACCCCGGTGTCCCCGGGGGCCCACGCTGGGACCCCCTGGTCCGCTGCTCAGCCTCCTGGCTCCGGGTGCATCCGGCCTCCAGCACGAGCCAGGGAATCCAGGCTCTGAACTGCACCGCAGCCCTGCTGCCCTGGCCTCATCCTGCCTGGCCTCGGCTGCACGCACTTTGCAAGCACCCACGGGTGCTTTGCAAGGGTCTGCACCCAGCTGGGAGGGACCCGAGGACAACACGCAGGACATGTGGGAGTCCATAAGGGAGCACAGCTCCTCCAGGCTGGCCTCTGGCGAGGGCACTGGGCTCATCTGCAGAGCTGAGAAGGTGCTAACCCAGCTCTGCCTTCGGGGCGGCACCTTTGGGAGCTGCGGAGATTTTCCAGGAGATTTTAATGCTCTTCTGTGTGCTCGTAAGGAGTATCCCCTCATTGCATGCAAGGAGGGCAAGTGGGGCCATGGGGCGACTCAGTGAGGGACCCAGGAGTCCCAGGAGCCTGAGTGCACAGCGGGAGCAGGGAAGAGGGAAGGAGAAGTCCCAGCACCTTCGGGCTTTGCAAAGGGACGAACCCAGGAGCGCGTCGGGAGCCTAGGAGGGGCTGGAGCGGACACTCCGGCTGCTCTCCTCCCGGGACAAGCCGCTCTGTGGCCTCACCTCTGCCGTGGACGCGCTGAGGGGGCAGGAGCCGCGCAGCCGCAGAGCTCACCGCCCGCTCACTAGGATGCGCGCTCCGAAGCCTATTTATTCCAGGCTCCGGAAAACATCATATGGCTGATACGTCAGGGGAGCTGCACCGTGGCCAGGCCCGGCTGTCAGCCAAGCTCATGCGGGAGCCGGCACCATCCATGGCCGCACGGGATCTGCACAGGGATGGGGCAAACGTGGAAGCACAAAGCCTGCTAAAGCCTGGCTTGTTGTTCACTGGAGCTCTGGTTGTTTACTTGGGAGGTAGAGGGACTTTGGAGAGGAATCAGGCAGATGCTCTGCGAGTTCCCAGCCCCTCCACACTGTGTGGGCTGAGGACGGCGTGGGGAAAGAGAGCAAGAGCAGTTTTCCGGGCTTTATTTATTTGCTTTAAGTTTATTGGACGTCATGGCTTTGCAGTGCACATTTTGCAATATCAGGCTAACTAGCAAAACACAGCCCAGGCTCGTCCGCTGGTGGGAAAGCAAAGCAACGGCTGGAGATAAGGAAGGGAGCAGAGATTTTCCCCAGGAACAGCTGTGGCTGGAACTGGGATGAGTCAGGCCCTGAACGCAGGAGGTTCCTGAGGACAAAAGGGGAAGATTTGGGGATTTCAGAGGAAAGAAGGGGCTGAACTGCATTCAAGCATTGCTGCCGGGGCGGTCAGCAGTGGCTGGGACAACCTGTGGCCACCAATCTTGTTACCTCGTCTGGCTCTATCCCCTGCCCAGTCACCTCAGGGAGCTGCATGCACTCGTGTGTTGGCAGCGGGATCAGGTAGCAAAGCCAGCAATTCCCTTTGCATCCCTTTGGGCAGCTTCAGCTCCGCCATATGGCACCGGGTGAGATGCTGGAGCCCTGGCACCCTCCTGCTCAAGTGCCCGGTCCCCAGGGCCACCTCTCGGAGCGCTCCCCAGCTCCTGGCGGCCGGACATTCCCCCCGGCTCCCGGAGCGCGCCGAGCTCGGAGCTCTGTGCGGCGGCGAGCGCGGCTGGGTCTCGGTGCCAGGGTCTCGGTGCCGGTTGTCCCCAGGCCGGGTGGCCTCGCGGCGGCTGAAGTGGCGGCGCTTTGACGGCAGGTGTCACTCGCAGCCGCCGGCGCGCGCACAGGCACACGCGGGCGCGCGCAGCCACGCGCGGGCGCGCGCAGCCACGCGGCCGCCGCAGCCCGGCCCCCGCCGCGGCCCGGGGCCCCCCGGCCGCTCGCCCTGTTTTGGGGCTGTCCCCCCATGCAGGGCTCTCTGCGGAGGGGGGCACGCTGCCGCAGTGCTTGGGGTGCCCGGCTGCCCCTCGGCAGGCTGAGCCCCTGGGAAGCGGCGGGATGTGGGATGCGGGATGCAGGGAATATCGGGGCGCAGTGCCGGGGCTGTGACACGCAGGGGTCAGGAGCAGAAGGCGAGGAGATGTGGCCGCAGGGCTGGGATACGAGTTGTGGATCCAGGGATGGGACTGGACGTGCAGGACCAGACCGAGGGGGAGTGGGGAGCAGAAAGTGGGGGACAAGGTTGGGGCTGCAGATTTGGCGGGGACTGCAGGGCTGGGGCAGACTGGGGTGCCTTCCTGGGGGAAGTAGGTGCAGAGCGGAGTGCAGGGGTGAGCTGGGGGCTGCATCCCAGGGCGGGCAGGAGCAGGGGGTGCAGGGTGCAGCCCGGGCCGTGGAAGCCGCAAACCGGGGGGGTTCGGGGTGCAAGGCCGGGTGCTGCACCTCGGGCGTGCGCGGAGCGGGCCCGGGGGCTGCGGGCAGGGCCGGTCCCGCCGCCCCCCCGCAGCGCTGGCCCCGCTCCCAGCCGTGCGCCCGGGCCCGGCGGGCTGCAGCGGGGGCCGAGCTCCGCGCTTGAACCCGCCCCCGCCAGAT